TGGTCTTCCTTATTCATTGTTCAGCTTTCACATGCACATGAGGCAATTGAAAATACCATGGCTTGGGTTAGGTTATGATGGTGGAGGTTGAAAATGGTGAGTTTTGTGTGTAGCATCTTGGTTGTCATTCCACCTTGATTTTGGAAAGAGTTCCAAAATAATTTGAGCTCTCAGAGGTGAAATTCATTATATACATTCAGTATTATCATGGCTCTTTTGTGATACCTAAACAAACAAATGAAGAGCTCTTTAATGAATTTCTAATTGAAGAATGTTTTGAGTAGGGGCTTTTCCATTTTCTTCTAGCTTACTCCAGCTTGCCAGACCTCTCTTTGTCAGTTTTTATTTTGTTTTTGTAATTATGATAACACCCGTCAGGGCCACACCCATACAGTTTTGCAAGTTGTTGGATGGCCAGTCAGACAGACCCAAATCCAACCTGAAATCCACTTTCTAAGCCATTTAACCTGACCAGGTGGCATCTGCCTGGAGGAAGGAAAGCCTTTTTCCAGTTCTCACAAAAGTCACGTGTGGCATGGTATTGATTCAAATGTTTTCATCACTCTTAATGGAAGTGCATTGCCCCCTAAGCAATTACTTCCACCCCCTGCCCCACCTCTAGTGAGCACTAATAAATTTCAAGCTCTGTACATTTATTTTCCTATTCTAGATATTTCATGTAAGTGGGCTCATACAATATTTGTTCTTTTGTGTCTGACTTATTTCACTCAGGATATTGTTTTCAAGGTTTATTCACCATTAATGTGTTTTTAAATTCATATCATGCATCTCTTTTTCCTTATGCCTGAAAAACATATTTTTAGTCCCAGATGCTGGAAATACTGTGATTCAAAACTTTTTATTCACTATTTGGAAAAGTGATCAATCAAAACAAAAATGAAACAAAACTGAGAAAATGCTTTAAAAATAATGTATAATGAACACTTATGTATAGAAGCTGTTGTTGTTGTTGTTATGTGCCATCGAGTTGGACCCAACTCATACGACCCCTCCTTGGGTTTCTGAGGCAGTATCACTATGGAAGTAGATTGCCCCATCTTCCAGTATAGAGGCAGTCATACCTTCACATGGGAGAAACATACAAAAAGGAAAGCTTTATGAGCCTAATACATATTTTAGTTATATTCTGGGATATAAGAAATGTTGTTGTTATTGTTGTTGTAGGTGCCATCAAGTCAGTTTTGACTCATAGCAATGTTATGTACAACAGAATGAAACACTGCCCGGTCTTAGACCAAACTCACGATTACTGTCATGCTTGAGCCATCATTGCAACACACCAGCAGTAAAAAGGTGAATCTGACTGATTTATGTAAAACAATTTAGATATGATAAATGGAATACAGTTCACCCAAAGCACCCATATTTCCACCTGTTGGAAACTCGCTCTTTCTCCCTTACATAAACTTAGGAGTCAGCTGTGTTAAAGTGGTCAAATTAATTTGATAGTTTTGGGAAACCCACCGCCATCAAGTCAATTCAGACTCATAGTGACTCAATAGGACAGAGTAGAACAACTCCATGGTCTCCAAGGCTGTAAATCTTTGGGGAAGCAGGCTGCCTCATCTTTCTCCCATGGAGTGGCTGGTGAGTTTGAACTCATTTACCTTTTGGTTAGCAGTTGAATGCATTAACCACTGTGCTACCAGAGCTCCTTGTTTGGGGAAAAGAGTGGTATATTTAGAGGGATTTTTGTTGTTGTTAGGTGCCATCAAGTTGGTTCTGACTCATAACGACCCTATGGAGGAGGGAATGGAAGGAAGATATTGGTTTTCTCTGGCAGTTGGTGGAGGTTAGAGCCTTTAGAGTTGGGGCTGAATGTCAGGCGTGTGATGCAAGTGATGTCAAAACTGTTAGGGGTACTCTTTCATGTCAGAGTTGATGGGAAGATTTTACTAAACACTAGCATAGAGCATTTTAGGGGCTGACTCGATGGCAAATAACAACAACAACAACAACAAGGGTCAAAGCAAGGAGTTCTGGTGGCGCTGTACCTAAGGCATTTGACTGCTAAGGAAGGTTGGTTTAAACCCACCAGCCACTGCACGGAAGGAAGAAGGAACAATCTATTTCCCTAAAGATTTATAGTTGTAATTGATTCAATGGCAGTGGTTTTTTTTTTTTTTTTGTTTGTTTGTTTTTTTAAGGGCCATGGCAGTCTGCTTTCCTAAAGGTTTACTGCCTTGGAAACCCTATAAGGGCAGTTCTACTCTGTCCTAAAGGCTCACTATGTATGAGTCAGAACAGACTTAATGGCAGCAGGTTAAGTCAGAATCTACTTGATGGCTATGGGTTTGGGCTTTTTTTTTTTTTCCTTTTTACTATTTTTAAAGAGAATTTTTAGTAGCTATAGAGCCTCACCTTCCTTTTTTTTTTTTAAATTATAGATGAGCTCTTTACCCAGGTGTGGCATTTTCTATTTTTAGGAATGAACTATGACCAAGTGGAAATAAATTATCTTATGAAAAGGAGTATGGTTAACTTCAAAGGCTATCTCCAAACCAGCCTGGAGAGCAGGTAAGTTTCAGTCAACCAACTCTAGCCAAAGAGCAGGTTCCAACCTGAGGACGCTCAGCTGTTTTGCCTGTCGAGTGGATGGGTAGTAACATTTTTGACATTTTCTGTCTTTCCCCACTGATGTTCTAGGGCTCAGTAACACACATGATGGCTCTGCTGACAACCTGACTGTTTTGTACTCTTGCTTGGGTTGGGTCAAGGATAAATGAATGGATCATATGTTGTGTGTACCTTCTCATTAATTTTTAAATGAACTCAAATTAAAAAAAAAAAAACTATAAGGGTGTGATAAAACTAACACCATCATTCAATGCTAATGCTATTGATATGGTCAATTGTGAAGTAAATTAGCAATATATTTAAAATACTATAAAAAGTTATTTAATTTTTTGATTCTACTTGTGTCACCTACTTTGAGCAAATAATTGAAAATATGTGCTAAAAAGTCTGTAAAACGTTACTTGTTTTAGTGAAAAATAGATCCATTCTATATGTTGAATTAGGACTGGTTAAACAAATGCTTATTTGACAAAATACTATGCAACTACTATATAAAACTAAATGCCTTGTAAGTAAGAGAATACAATTTCTAATATGGTAAGTGAAAATGTGTTATAAAAATGAATTATAAAAAATGGAAATAGAATTAAATACATAGTATGGATTAAAGTATTCTTTTTTAAAAGGTTCTCTAGAAAAATCCTGGGTTACAGTTGAGTTTTTAACATATTTTAAACATTTTGTTTAATGCCATGTGTTCTATGTGATAATAAAAGTGAAAAAAAGAAAAACAAATGACTTTTTTAGAATGGACGGAAATATGTCATCATGATGTCTTTTGGCTAATTTGATATGTGGGAAGATGGTGCATAAAGCTCCTTTTAGCTCCATGCTTGAGGTGGGAAGGCTAAGGCTGCTGAAGGTCGTCTTGAAAATGGCATTTTCACCACAGCAAAACAGGGAGAATCGTTCTGTGTTCCAGCAAGAATGTGAGAAAGAATGAAGTCTCATAATGTTACGCACACCTTTTGTCTTTGAGCTTTCATCATTTTCTCTTCTCTGTGTATTGGCAAAATTTCTACCATCAGATTATTCATTTTATTTCACTGCTTAAAATGATAATAACCTGCAACAAATTATAGGAGCTATTTTTTTAATACAAGAAATTCATCCCATACAAAAACCTAAGTAATACCAAACCTAATATAGTACAACTTTACAATATTAGTTAGTTTTGCAGCTGGTTTGTTAAACATTTTGTGTGTGTGTGTGTGTGTGCAAGACAATTTGTGCAGACTTATTTAAATAAATTCTGGGTTATTTGAACTTTTTGTACAAGGACTTTTATCAACCCTTTCTTTATCCTTAGTGCACACTGAAAAAAATCCATGTGATACCCCTTCATTTTTATTCCTCTTTCTGATACCTGTTCTTTGTAAAGGAGTTCTGGTAGTGTAGTGCCTAAGGCATTTGACTGCTAACCAGAAGCCTGGAGGTTCAAACCCACCAGCCACTCCTCGGAAGGAAGGTTGGGCAATCTACTTCCGTAGTGATACTGCCTCAGAAACCCAAGGGGGTTCACTATGAGTCAAGTCCTACTTGACGGCACATAACAACAACAACAACAACTTCCATATTGCTAGG